CGAAGCCCGGACTTGGCCCGGGTTTCCGGGCCGAGGCCGGGCCGGGCCGCGGGCTGTTTTGGACAGCCCTAGTGGTGAAGTATGACGGTAAAATTAACTTTGGTTTGTGGATGAGCGACGTACAGGATGCGCTCAATGCTCAGAATTTAGAAGAGACCATCATGGTCCACGAGATGCCACCTAAATATGAAGAGGCAGTATGGGATAAGATGAATAGGAACGCGTGTGGGGTGATCAGGTCTGTTTGGAACAGGAACTGAAATATGATGTGATTGGGGTGACGTCTGCAATGAAGATGTGGGAAATTCTCAACAATAAGTATCTCACAAAGAGTGTTGAGAACAGGTTGCACTTGCTGCGAAGACTCTTCAGATTTCAGATGTCCAGAGGCACCTCGCTAGCGACTCATGTAAACAACTACACTAAGTTGTTGTCGGACTTGACGAATGTTGATGAGAAGATATCGGATGAGTACAAGGCGATTATTTTGTTGGGCTCCTTACCCGATGAGGAGTATGATACATTCGTGCTCACTTTGTTGAACGGGAGATCTTCTATCAGCTATAGTGAAGTGACTAACGCTTTGACCAATTATGATTTGAGGAGGAAGGACAAGGAGACTTCCCGTGCTAGCACTTCAGGCGAGGCCTTGTCGACGAGAGGTAGAAGCCCATATCCAAAAGGTGGTAATACAGGAAGGTCAAAGTCAAGAAGCCGCCACCAATTAGCAAAGAACCAATGTGCATTCTGCAAGGAGCAGGGACATTGGAAGAGAGAGTGCCCGAAGCTCAAGGAGAAGGAGAATGGTAAGAAAAAGGACCCGAAGGCCAATGAGGTGAATATTGTGAAAGGCGATGATTCCGATGATTCGTGATTTTCTCTACTAATTACTCCGGAGGTGATCCATGTGGATGCATCAGATTGGATGCTTGATTCCGGCGCTACTTTTCATGTGACCCCTAGGCGAGACTGGTTTGCATCTTTTGAGAAAGTCGACGGGGGCGTTGTTGTCATGGGAAATGATCAATCCTGTGGCGTTTGTGGGATAGGTGCCGTACGGATTAGGATGCACGATGGAGTAGTCCGTGAGTTGAAGGAGGTGAGATTTGTTCCTCAACTGAAGAAAAATCTTATCTCAGTTGGAGCTTTGGAGGCGAAGGGATTCAAGGTGACTTTCGAAAACGCTGTAGCGAAGGCTACTAAGGGATCATTGGTGGTGATGAGGGAAGTCCGCAATCGGAATTTGTATTATCTGAAGGGAAGCACCGAGATTGGCCAGGTTGCTTCGGCTATTTCAGAAGCGGACATGAGCAGACTTTGGCACTATAGATTGGGGCACACAGGTGAAAAGTCATTGTAGGCATTGTGCAAGCAGGGGCTATTGAAGGGAGCCAAGAGTGGGAAGATTGAGTTCTGTGAGCACTGTGTTCTTGGCAAGAAGACGAAGGTGAAGTTCGGGACTGCCATTCATCAGACGAGGGGCATCCTGGATTACGTGCACACAGACGTTTGGGGTCCCACCAAGACTGCATCACTTGGTGGTCGACATTGGTTCGTCACTTTTGTAGATGACTATTCTAGGCGTTGTTGGGTGTACACCATGACGAAGAAGAGTGAAGTCCTAGATTTGTTTGTGGAGTGGAAGAAGAGATTGGAACTGCAGACTGGGAGAAAGATCAAGACGTTGCGATCCGACAACGGTGGTGAGTATACTTCTGACCCCTTTCAGCAGCTATGTCGAGACGAGGGCATAGAGAGACACTTCACAGTTAGTCATACACCGCAGCAAAATGGGGTGGCAGAGAGGTTGAATCGGTCTTTACTGGAGAAGATCCGATGCTTATTGTCGCAGAGTGGTTTGGAGAAGATCTTTTGGGCTGAGGCACTTACATATGCGAGCCACCTCATTAATAGGCTGCCTTCATCTGCGATTGAGGGGAAAACCCCTATGGAGATGTGGTCGGGAAAGCCAGCACATGACTATGACCAGCTCAAGGTATTCGGTGAGGTGACGCCAGGCGAGCACGACGGTGACACGGAGGATACGAGTACAAATGTGCAGGATCAAGAACCGACAGCTCAGGTTCAGGATCCTATTGCGGTTCGGAGACAGAGGAGAAACATACATATGCCAGCACGGTATGCCAACACAGTTGCGTATGCACTTCCGGTAGAGAATATCGATGAGTTAGTGCCTACTACATTCAGAGAGGCCGAGCAGAGTTCGGAGGCTGATTCGTGGCAGGTGGCTATGCAGGAGGAGATGGAATCTCTTCATAAGAACGATACATAGGAGCTTGTTGAGCTTCCAAAGGGGTGGAAGACAATTGGTTGCAAGTGGGTATACACGAAGAAGGAGGGCATTGAAGGCACTCCGTTGAGATTCAAGGCTAGGTTGGTTGCGAAGGGCTATGCACAGGAGGAAGGAATAGATTATAATGAGGTTTTCTCTCCGGTGGTGAAGCACTCTTCGATTCGGATTTTGCTAGCTTTGGTGGCACAGTATGGTTTGGAGTTAGATCAGTTGGATGTAAAGACGGTATTTCTTCATGGTGATCTTGATGAAGAAATATATATGACTCAGCCATTGAGATTCCGAGCTGCAGGGAAGGAAAAATTAGTTTGCAGATTGAAGAAATCGCTATACGGTTTGAAACAGTCTCCTCGACAGTGGTATAGGCGATTTGATGGTTTTATGATTGGTCATTCGTACACTCGGAGCCAGTTTGATCCTTGCGTATATTTTCGCAAGTTGAAAGGAGGTGCGTACATCTATTTGTTACTTTATGTCGATGACATGTTGGTTGCCTCTACTTCCAGGTCGGCTATAGATGAGTTGAAAGTTCAACTATCAAATGAGTTTGAGATGAAAGACTTGGGTGAGGCGAAGCGCATTCTAGGGATGGAGATCGGCAGAGACAAGAAGAAGGGCAGAATTTGAGGTGGGCAGTTGTGCATTGGCTATGTTGATTCGGATTATGCCGGGGATTTGGATAAACGCCGGTCTACTACGGGGTATGTGTTCACTTTGACCCGTGTGCCGGTGTGTTGGAGATGCACCTTACAGTCTACAGTGGCTTTGTCTACGACGGAGGCAGAGTATATGACAGTTACG